TTGATCACCTAGCCAGGGGCACCTGGTACCATGATCACCTAGCCAGGGGCACCTGGTACCTTGATCACCTAGCCAGGGGCACCTGGTACCATGATCACCTAGCCAGGGGCACCTGGTACCTTGATCACCTAGCCAGGGGCACCTGGTACCATGATCACCTAGCCAGGAGCACCTGGTACCTTGATCACCTAGCCAGGGGCACCTGGTACCTTGATCACCTAGCCAGGAGCACCTGGTACCTTGATCACCTAGCCAGGGGCACCTGGTACCTTGATCACCTAGTCAGGGGCACCTGGTACCTTGATCACCTAGCCAGGGGCACCTGGTGCCTTGATCACCTAGCCAGGGGCACCTGGTACCTTGATCACCTAGCCAGGGGCACCTGGTACCATGATCACCTAGCCAGGGGCACCTGGTACCTTGATCACCTAGCCAGGGGCACCTGGTACCTTGATCACCTAGCCAGGGGCACCTGGTACCATGATCACCTAGCCAGGGGAACCTGGTGCCTTGATCACCTAGCCAGGGGCACCTGGTACCTTGATCACCTAGCCAGGGGCACCTGGTACCATGATCACCTAGCCAGGGGCACCTGGTACCTTGATCACCTAGCCAGGGGCACCTGGTACCATGATCACCTAGCCAGGGGCACCTGGTACCTTGATCACCTAGCCAGGGGCACCTGGTACCATGATCACCTAGCCAGGAGCACCTGGTACCTTGATCACCTAGCCAGGGGCACCTGGTACCATGATCACCTAGCCAGGAGCACCTGGTACCTTGATCACCTAGCCAGGGGCACCTGGTACCTTGATCACCTAGCCAGGAGCACCTGGTACCTTGATCACCTAGCCAGGGGCACCTGGTACCATGATCACCTAGCCAGGAGCACCTGGTACCTTGATCACCTAGCCAAGAGCACCTGGTACCTTGATCACCTAGCCAGGGGCACCTGGTACCATGATCACCTAGCCAGGAGCACCTGGTACCTTGATCACCTAGCCAGGGGCACCTGGTACCTTGATCACCTAGCCAGGAGCACCTGGTACCTTGATCACCTAGCCAGGGGCACCTGGTACCATGATCACCTGGTACCATGATCACCTAGCCAGGAGCACCTGGTACCTTGATCACCTAGCCAGGGGCACCTGGTACCTTGATCACCTAGCCAGGGGCCCTGGTGCCATGATCACCTAGCCAGGGGCACCTGGTACCTTGATCACCTAGCCAGGGGCCCTGGTACCTTGATCACCTAGCCAGGGGCCCTGGTACCTTGATCACCTAGCCAGGGGCCCTGGTACCTTGATCATCTAGCCAGGGGCCCTGGTACCATGATCACCTAGCCAGGGGCACCTGGTACCTTGATCACCTAGCCAGGGGCACCTGGTACCTTGATCACCTAGCCAGGGGCACCTGGTGCCATGATAGTGGAAAGGTGGCATGATATAATTAGAGGTAAGGTTGTATGACATTATATGGCAGAATGTTAGCATGTTCATTGTTGGGATGTAAGACATTGTATTAAACTTTAGACAGAAAACAGTCATTGCCTGCTTCCTCACACACTACCATCTTCCACACACACACACACTACCATCTTCCACACACACACACTACCATCTTCCACACACACACACTACCATCTTCCTCACACACACACTACCATCTTCCACACACACACACTACCATCTTCCACACACACACACTACCATCTTCCACACACACACACTACCATCTTCCACACACACACACTACCATCTTCCACACACACACACTACCATCTTCCACACACACACACTACCATCTTCCACACACACACACTACCATCTTCCTCACACACACACTACCATCTTCCACACACACACACACTACCATCTTCCACACACACACACTACCATCTTCCACACACACACACTACCATCTTCCACACACACACACTACCATCTTCCACACACACACACTACCATCTTCCTCACACACACACTACCATCTTCCACACACACACACTACCATCTTCCACACACACACACTACCATCTTCCACACACACACACTACCATCTTCCACACACACACACTACCATCTTCCACACACACACACTACCATCTTCCTCACACACACACTACCATCTTCCACACACACACACTACCATCTTCCACACACACACACTACCATCTTCCACACACACACACTACCATCTTCCTCACACACACACTACCATCTTCCACACACACACACTACAATCTTCCACACACACACACTACCATCTTCCACACACACACACTACCATCTTCCACACACACACACACTACCATCTTCCACACACACACACACTACCATCTTCCACACACTACCATCTTCCACACACACACTACCATCTTCCACACACACACTACCATCTTCCACACACACACTACCATCTTCCACACACACACACACACTACCATCTTCCACACACACACACACTACCATCTTCCACACACACACACTACCATCTTCCACACACACACACACTACCATCTTCCACACACACACACACTACCATCTTCCACACACACACACACACACTACCATCTTCCACACACACACACTACCATCTTCCACACACACACACACACACTACCATCTTCCACACACACACTACCATCTTCCACACACACACTACCATCTTCCACACACACACTACCATCTTCCTCACACACACTACCATCTTCCACACACACACACACACTACCATCTTCCACACACACACACACACTACCATCTTCCACACACACACACACACTACCATCTTCCACACACACACACACACTACCATCTTCCACACACACACACACACTACCATCTTCCACACACACACTACCATCTTCCTCACACACACTACCATCTTCCACACACACACACTACCATCTTCCACACACACACACTACCATCTTCCACACACACACTACCATCTTCCACACACACACTACCATCTTCCACACACACACTACCATCTTCCTCACACACACTACCATCTTCCACACACACACACACTACCATCTTCCACACACACACTACCATCTTCCACACACACACTACCATCTTCCACACACACACTACCATCTTCCACACACACACACTACCATCTTCCACACACACACACTACCATCTACCACACACACACTACCATCTTCCTCACACACACTACCATCTTCCACACACACACTACCATCTTCCACACACACACTACCATCTTCCACACACACACACTACCATCTTCCACACACACACACTACCATCTTCCACACACACACACTACCATCTTCCACACACACACACTACCATCTTCCACACACACACACTACCATCTTCCACACACACACTACCATCTTCCTCACACACACTACCATCTTCCACACACACACTACCATCTTCCTCACACACACTACCATCATCCACACACACACACTACCATCTTCCACACACACACACTACCATCTTCCACACACACACACTACCATCTTCCACACACACACTACCATCTTCCACACACACACTACCATCTTCCACACACACACTACCATCTTCCTCACACACACACTACCATCTTCCACACACACACACACACACTACCATCTTCCTCACACACACACTACCATCTTCCACACACACACACACACACACTACCATCTTCCACACACACACTACCATCTTCCTCACACACACACTACCATCTTAATACGGTGTTTAACGAGGATAAGTTCCAGCTCATGCGCTACGGAAAAATTGAAAATATAAAAACAGAAACCACGTACAAAACTCAGGCATATCATAACATAGAACGAAAAGGCAATGTAAAGGATTTAGGTGCACTCATGTCGGAAGACCTTACCTTTAAAGAACACAATAAAGTAGCCGTCACAACTGCAAGAAAAATGACAGGTTGGATAACAAGAACTTTTCACACTAGAGATGCTGTACCGATGATGATACTTTTCAAAACGCTTGTGCTCTCTAGAGTGGAGTACTGCTGCACAATGACAGCCCCTTTCAAAGCTGGAGAAATTGCTGACCTAGAGAGCGTGCAGAGATTCTTTACTGCTAGAATCCACTCAGTAAAACATCTAAATTACTGGGACCGACTAAAGAGCCTAAATCTGTACTCCCTTGAGCGCAGGCGGGAGAGATACATAATAATTTACACGTGGAAAATAATTGAGGGGCTGGTCCCAAACCTGCACACAGAAATAACATCACATGAGACCAGAAGACATGGCAGGATGTGCAGAATACCCCCGTTGAAAAGCAGAGGTGCAACAGGTACTCTGAGAGAGAACTCTATCAACATCAGAGGCCCGAGACTGTTCAACACGCTTCCACTACACATAAGGGGCATAACTGGCCGACCCCTCACAGTGTTCAAGAGAGAACTCTATCAACATCAGAGGCCCAAGACTGTTCAACACGCTTCCACTACACTTAAGGGGCATAACTGGCAAACCCCTCACAGTGTTCAAGAGAGAACTGGATAAGCACCTCCAAAGGATACCTGATCAACCAGGCTGTGACTCATACGTCAGGCTGCGAGCAGCCGCGTCTAACAGCCTGGTTGATCAGTCCAGCAACCAGGAGGCCTGGTCGACGACCGGGCCGCGGGGACACTAAGCCCCGGAAGCACCTCAAGGTAACCTCAAGGTAAGGTCTTCCTCACACACACTACCATCTTCTCCCCGTCGTATTCCACTGTCTATTAGATTCTAACTTTGCTATAATCATGCAGCATCTTTATTTATATTTCTTCAAATATGAAGAAATAGGTTATTCTAAATATCTCGTTTTAGATCATAAAACATGGGTTTAAAACTGAAGAAAATGTTTAACCGTATTTTAGGTTTCTTTTGTTGCGGCCAGCCAGTGCCCTAGGACGAGGGTTCAGAACAAGAGGCCTCTTCGCAGGCTCCAGAGAACTATTAGGTGGTATCTGAAATGTCTTAATTCGAATCTGAAATGCCTTCGGAGGAATCGGAGAAGTCTTCGGAGGAATCGGAGAAATCTTCGGAGGAATCGGAAAAGTCTTCGGAGGGATCAGAGAAGTCTTCGGAGGGATCAGACAAGTCTTAGGAGGGATCAGAAAATTTTTCGGAGTCATCAGGTATGTACTGGTTAGCACCCGAGAGGTTTTCGGAGGTATCAGAGGGGTCTTCAGAGGAACCAGAGATGTACTGGGACGCTAAGTGTGAAGTTGTCGACAACTTTGCTAACTAGGTCAATACCTTCGTGTAGAACTTTTACATTACTGATACCACTGACGGTCATGATGATAACTAAAGTACTGTCGCAACAGATGGTGTTAATTGCAATACCATTTGTAGCATAATTAGTAATAACACCGACGATAATAACGACGGTTTTACAAAAATTGACATTGGCAGTAGTGATACTGGTGGTAGTAATTAAAATAGTCAAAGTGAAATTGATAAGGATGGGGATGATACCGGCTGTGGTATAAATGGTTCTAGTTTTCCTGAGAATGATCCATGCCCCGACAACATATGTATTGAGGATACCGTGATTACTGACGAGGTTGAAACAGTTTCTAACAGTGACAGACCAATCCCAATGATTGACCCCAACCCGTTCTCTTGCTCCCAGAGGGTGGCAGTACTCGCAGCGCTGATGACAACCCACCGCCAGACTGTCCTCAATTGTATGAAGAACATGGATGCCGAAGATTATAATTCAACCAAAAACTTCATAAAAAATATCGTTACGAAAATAAACATAACCCCGTATTAGAAAATAATAGACAGTTTGTCTTTCGTTTTGAACGACATTGGTGTACGAGAAGAAAAAGCCGAATGTTCGTGGCAAAGTTTTACCTGCACGATGGACCTAGCCACCTTCCTAGAGGCCGTACCCTCCAGTGAAGGGAAATCCTGCAACACTTGCAGGATGCATCCAAGTTGTAAAAAAATGTGTTTAAGAAATGTGCCAAAATGCGTTTTCTGCTAAGTAGAAGCCACGAAGTCCAGCTGGCCAAAAGATACAGAGTTTACTCACTATCAATCATCTGCGGAAACCATTATCATGCTTAAGTACGCAATAGTAATAGACGTCACTTTTCTAGACAGCTAACTCTTGTCTTTCCTGGAGAGTTTCTCAGATATCGAAACCGACATTGAATATCATATAGTACTTTTCAATAACATTACGAAGTACTATAAGATCGTGAACCTCAAAAGTCCATATCTGCCTCACGAGGTGAGAGAGGTGTAAAGGAACACTGGTGGAGTCCGGTCAATGTTGAGAAAATTAGCTTGTCTCACCAGGATCAACACTTCCGTAATTGCCCAGGCCATTAAAGCAGCAGTGGGACTAACCTCCAATGCCACAGGGAAAGTCCTGGTCCTGAATGCGGGTTCTACTTTGCCATCTGACGCTGTTAGCGTAGTGGCGTCGGCGTCAACCATTTTTTGCCTCGTCAACATTCTGGGGTCTGAGCGCATTAAGCTAGATGAACATGTCCAATACCAAATTTTCAAGAAAGGCGGCCATAATTCAAGTATAGCATTGGAAACTGTATCCAACATCATTACAAAAGAAATTGGCATAAAAGGAGACTTGGCATACGATATTAAAGTGACACTTCGTTACTCTTCCAATTACTCCCTGCAGGCTATTAATGCACCTAATTGCTTGACGTCTAAAAACACGGATGGAACGACAGCAGTATTCCACCTGTTACACATGAGGAGGAAGGATGATATCGTCTGTGACTTTAAGCGTCACAGCCACTAAATAGAAACCGGTCCAGTGTACGTCTAGGGGAGCTTAAAGTTCATAAACTCCATAGGACAGCAGATACATCGAGTATTTAACTTTACTAATCATCATATGGAGTGAGAAGCCGATTTAAAATGTTTCTGGTAATTGTCTCGTGATGTGAGATAAATATTATTGGAATACTCTAATCTCCCGTGTCTGTATCTCTCCCACATGATGGGTGAAGTCTCTGCCACAGCTTAATTAATCATAACTCAATCTTTTTTTCGACCAATATCATCAATGGGTAAACAGCATCACAAACCCAGTGTTGCCACTACCACGGCATGACGGACAGACCGGGGTAGCGGTTACAATGTCTGCCAGGCCGGGGTAGTGGTAACACTGTGTCTGTGAATGCTGTTCAGCTAAATCTTTGAGGATATTCGCAGAGAAAAAGATTTATGATTAATTAGGCTAACACGGAGATTAATTAGTATTTATCTCACATCAAGGGAAATTATCACGCAAGTCCTGCATCTCCACGGAAGAGCGACTGTCGGTCGACGTTATTTTTCTGAAAGGCTGATACAACTGCCAAGCGGACATGTATGATTGTCAAACTGTGTGATAGTCAGTGACCGTGATGGTCAGTGACTGCATGAAGATCATACTGTGATCTGTCCAGCCGGGTTAATCGACGACCGTTCAAGTGATTGGGCACCGTTAGATTTCTCTCCCAATCTCATTGGCGTGCAGGTCTGGGTATCGGCTGTTACAACTGCCAATACCCGGACAATATCACCATGGCCAGGTCATCGTAGATAGTGCCTCTGACCTGTCCACCAGTCTGGATTAGCAGTAACACTTCCAGGCTGCTACCCCGGCCACTGTGTCGGAGTGATCAATCTGTCCAACCGTGTTAATTGAGGACCGTCCAAGTGGTTGGGCACCGTTAGCCTTCTTTCCTAATCTCATTGGCACGGAGGACAGGTTTGCTGATACCCTGTCTGGCAAGTGTTACAACTGCCGATACCCGGAAAAATATCGCCATGACCGCCTTGACCGTTTGACGGTGTGATGGTCAGTGACCGTGTGTAATGGTCTCTGACCATTGATTGTAAACTGTCCACCAGGCCGGATTAGCAGTAACACTTCCAGGCCGCTACCCCGGCCTGGTAGTGTTACTGGTACTCCTGTCTGGTGACAGTTTTACCGTTACTCCGGCCACGACTACAAATCTCTGATGTGAATTACAGTGATCGATTAATACTGTCAACCACTCTGCAACCGTTTCTCTACTTCCTAGAAATCCTCACCAGGACAATATATATGATCAGCTACCCTTGTCTATCAGACAGTGTTACAACTATCCTTGTCTGTCGGACAGTGACAGACTGACATCACTAACTCACTGACCGTGTAATGGTCACCGACCAGAGACAGTAAACTGTCCACCCGGCCGGATTAGCAATAACACTTCCAGGCCGCTACCCCGGCCTGGTTGTGTTATTGGTACTCCTGTCTGGTGACAGTTTTACTGATACTGCGTTCTGTTACTGTTATGATGCGTAACATCATAACACATATGGAGTTGCACTCTGGTTGTTGGTCTGGAGTGGCCTCTCCATGGCGCAAAGCCAGGGTAGGTTGATATGGGGGAGAAGCTGTTACCCATGCAGCAGGTCCCTCCTCTCCACGGCACCGAAAGTCACGGATGGAACAAGCGCCAAAATCGATTGTTTCAAGGTTGAAGGCAACAACGAACTGCCCTAAGGGCTCCAGCTCCGGAGTTTACCTCGAAGATGGTAAAAGACACAGGGACTCCAAACCTATGATGTGTGAATTACGGTGATCGATTAATAGTGTCGATCAATTACCCTTGTCTGTCAGACAGTTACAGACTGATATCGTGTGATGGTCAGTGACCGAGTGATGGTCAGAGACCGTGTGATGGTCAGAGACCGTGTGATGGTCAGAGACCGTGTGATGGTCAGAGACCGTGTGATGGTCAGAGACCGTGTGATGGTCAGTGACTGTGTGATGGTCAGTGACCGTGTGATGGTCAGTGACCGTGTGATGGTCAGAGACCGTGTGATGGTCAGAGACCGTGTGATGGTCAGAGACCGTGTGATGGTCAGAGACCGTGTGATGGTCAGTGACCGTGTGATGGTCAGAGACCGTGTGATGGTCAGAGACCGTGTGATGGTCAGTGACCGTGTGATGGTCAGAGACCGTGTGATGGTCAGAGACCGTGTGATGGTCAGAGACCGTGTGATGGTCAGTGACCGTGTGATGGTCAGTGACCGTGTGATGGTCAGTGACCGTGTGATGGTCAGAGACCGTGTGATGGTCAGTGACCGTGTGATGGTCAGAGACCGTGTGATGGTCAGAGACCGTGTGATGGTCAGAGACCGTGTGATGGTCAGTGACCGTGTGATGGTCAGTGACCGTGTGATGGTCAGTGACCGTGTGATGGTCAGTGACCGTGTGATGGTCAGTGACCGTGTGATGGTCAGAGACCGTGTGATGGTCAGTGACCGTGTGATGGTCAGTGACCGTGTGATGGTCAGTGACCGTGTGATGGTCAGTGACCGTGTGATGGTCAGTGACCGTGTGATGGTCAGTGACCGTGTGATGGTCAGTGACCGTGTGATGGTCAGTGACCGTGTGATGGTCAGTGACCGTGTGATGGTCAGTGACCGTGTGATGGTCAGTGACCGTGTGATGGTCAGTGACCGCGTGATGGTCAGAGACCGTGTGATGGTCAGTGACCGTGTGATGGTCAGTGATCGTGTGATGGTCAGTGACCATGTGATGGTCAGTGACTGTGTGATATGTGTGTGTGTGTGTACTCACCTAGTTGTGCTTGCGGGGGTTGAGCTTTGACTCTCTGGTCCCGCCTCTCAACCGTCAATCAACAGGTGTACAGGATCCTGAGCCTATCGGGCTCTGTCATATCTACACTTGAAACTGTGTATGGAGTCAGCCTCCACCACATCACTTCCTAATGCATTCCATTTGTCAACCACGCTGACACTAAAAAAGTTCTTTCTAATATCTCTGTGGCTCATTTGGGCACTCAGTTTCCACCTGTGTCCCCTTGTGCGTGTGCCCCTTGTGTTAAATAGCCTGTCTTTATCTACCCTATCAATTCCCTTGAGAATCTTGAATGTAGTGATCATGTCCCCCCTAACTCTTCTGTCTTCCAGCGAAGTGAGGTTCAATTCCCGCAGTCTCTCCTCGTAGCTCATACCTCTCAGCTCGGGTACTAGTCTGGTGGCAAATCTTTGAACCTTTTCCAGTTTAGTCTTATCCTTGACTAGATATGGACACCATGCTGGGGCTGCATACTCCAG